GTTGACCTGTGCAGCAAGCACTATGCCGGGTGATGCTGCACCACTGATTCTCATATAAAGTGTTTTAATATTCCTAACTACCCCATTCCTTGTGATTTCTGTATTGTAAACAAACAGCCTTTTGGTCAAATAAATTCCCTTCAGTTTTCAGGACAGTGCCCTAACTCCATCCACTGTGCTCCATCATCAAGTCCAGTACCTAGTTTGGTGCATTTAGGGCTGTGGTGGGTGTTCTGCGGTGGCTTTTTCCCACTCTACAGCGAGGTCTAGCAGGATAAAAGCTGTTTTCATGACCATCCACTACTGCAGTGAATCCGGCCAGTTATCATCTCAGTTTCAGATATTGCTATGAACTCTAAACAGGGACATCTAGCTACCTCTAGCTAATATAAAACATAACTGCCAGCAGAGCTAGCTCGAGAGAGCACATACCATCCAGTTTCTAGTAGCTGTTTTGACTCCTTGGACTCCTATTCCTTTTCAGGTGTCAATTGACCTACAAGAACTCAGACAGTTTCTCATGGGCACAAGATATCTTTCTCTCTCTCGCCCTCCTCTGAAATCAGCTGGGGGCTTTTGCTTGGGGTGTTTTAATAGATTGGAACACATAGGGATTAGGGTTGGAAGTTCTCTGTGGGACTCTTGACTCTGAGATTTGCTCCCCCTGGTGGTCTGGATGAACCTGGGTGTGTTGACTCCACCATAAAATCTTCCCTGGGGATTTTGCTCCAGGATAAAGTACTTGGAGTTTTCTAGCAGATGAATCTTTCACTGCCAAGAAATATCACATAGGCATATGTGTTACACTTGTACAGGTGCTGTAGTCTGTTCTGGGCTCCTGTTTCAAATAAATGCATGCTGGGTAAACAGCTGGGTCCACTGCTTTGTTTTCTTTCTCACTATGCTGCAAAACAGCCATTACCTGTGGGCAATAGCTCCCATCCATGCCATCTATTCTAAAATGAACTCCTTACTGTGATCTGATCTCTAAACTCAGAGCACCCAGGGAATGGAGGACACATCAAAAGGCCTGGCACAGAAGACTCCTACAATGATTGCTGAATGCCCACAGAAAGGGGGAGAAAAAAGGGCAAGGGAGGACACATTGCTAGGTGTGAGGTATGCTATCTCAAGCCAGGATAATAACCAGCCCTAGAGGGAATTCAACAAGAAAACATTCTCTTCTGGAGTGTGAGAGAGGACATAACTTGAATAAGATACTGTGCTGAGGATTGAAAACAAGGGCCTCAAACTCATGGGGTTAATGTCCAGTACAGTACTGTAAGTAGGTCACATAGAACTGATTTGGTACAGATATACCCAATCCCACATCTGTACTGGGAGAGAGGCCATGAGGAAACTGTAAAGCCAAGCACAAGGGGTCTGAACTAGAGACATCTTTGGCACTGTGCTTTGTCTTTCTCTACCTCATCCAACTGGGAAACTCAACACCCTTCCTTGGTGTCCCCAGAGGGTGAGGCAGGGCCACTGGCTCTGTGTGACAGAGGAGATGACTGTGCTCTAGAGAGGTGGTAGTTGTCCCTGCACCATGGGAGCAGGCACAGGGTCTGCAGGAGAACCCAGGAGTCCTGCCCTTCAAATAACTTTCTTCTCACCCACTGGGGCAGGCCCCCTGCAGACAACTCCTGTGCCAGCACAGACAGGACAAATGAGAGCCTGTTCCTCAACATCATTGCTGGGGACAGGCACAGCCAGACACAGGGGCCTGACACAGGGGTGGAGGAGAGGGAGTCTGAGCAGGCTTTTCCCACCCCAAGGAGCTAGTACCTGCAGAGTTAGGAGCCACAGCCCTACTCACACTACCTTGAAGGAGAAGAGAGATGGGATGACGCCGGCTTTGAGCCGCCGCTGCCCGCCATGGAGTTCAAACTCCTCCCGTGCAAAGTGCTGCGAGCAGAGGCAGGCGCCAGCGCCCGGCACCCACAGCCGGTGGGAGCCAGGCTCGACGCGCCGCACCGCCAGCAACCAGCGCTTTCGCAGCTCGTGCGCCTTGGGGAAGCTGCGGGCAGATGGAGGTGTGGGTCAGTGCTGGGCTGGGGCAGGTGCCCTTGACCTCCAGTGCCTGGCCCCACCCTGCCCTTCCCCAAACCCACGTGTCCCGCCCCCTGTGCACTAGCCCCACCCCATAGCCTCTGGCCCCGCCCAC